TCAATATCGATGTATTGACGTCAATATAGAATGTATTGACAATACGATTATTGTAAATAAATGCAATCGTGTGGGGTCCACTCTACGTGCAATATTTTAAAAGTTACAGTGATTTGAAGGTGTCCGGATTAATGTGGTTTACAGACCTTACGACTATACGCATCTGACGAGGTATACTGACACATGCAGTTGACGGAAACAACGGAACAAACAAATTTTTCATACAATAGGATTGAACGAAAAACAATCCACACATTTCATGAAAATCAATGTAGCTATGTACAATACTGTGAAGATAAATATTGACTTAATATATTGCTGAAATTTTGCATAGATTTGGTTAAATTGAACTATCGGAAAGGGGAGAGTTTACCCGAGGGTGTTGTTGGTTTGCATAGGTATGCTTCGATTCACGCGAACAGGGGATTGCGAGTTTCGTTTAAAAAAGCTGATTGGCCCTTTTAAAATGTTACGCGAAAATTTATTTATTTATTGACGTCAATTGTGTATGAGAGACGTATACATTTCTGCACAGGTCAATAAATCTTCATGCAAGCGTCTACAATGTCAACAGGTTGCACGACTGTGTGGGTTGAATATTAATTTCACCGCAGGCATAATTGTCTATCTGTTTCCTGTATGGAGTTGTTCAATACATTTATTTCCAATTATTCATTATTGTATTATTCTGTGCACGACACAACATGACATTTATCGATACGGCTGAGCCTCATTTGACCTATAATATGAAATCCCCAGAAACTGCCGATACTCGCAAATCAGTCCCATATGTGAAGAGAGAGAGAGAGAGAATTATTGGTAATTTTCATTTAATTCCACTACCTTATTTGCTGATCCTTGATAGCGTATTTCGTATATAGAAAAATTCACGAACCCCTCATTTTATCTGTCAAAATTTCATAGCGAATCAAAACAAACATAGTACTAGAATTTCAACTAGAAAGGGGTACATTAATCGATGTACTTGGGGCCGATAGGCTAGTCAAGTGTGAGCCAAATTAAAACCGTTAGTTTTCACCGGTGGGTCTTAGGAAAAATATACACGGTAAATTTTTTGTAGTAATTTTAAGGAAAGAATCAAAAACAGAGTTGAAAATTTACATAAAATTATCTTGTTAATTTTTTTTATTTTTTTTTGTTAACAAAGCTTCTGAAAAACGCAAACTTTTGACAAATTGAAAATCTTGAACACATAAAAACATCATACAAGAACAACTTTTGGTCAATCTTTTATTTAACTATTTATTGATTTAATAGTGTTCCTTTTGACTTTATTGGCAGAGCCTGTGTGAAGTTTGAGTTATTTTAGTAAAACGCTCAGTTTGAATCTGTTTTGGTAGAGAACGTATTTTAGTAAAATTAGCGGCGTATGAAAGACCATAACTACAAATGAGCAAGATTTCAAAAAGTTTGGTTCATTGTGTTTCAAGAAAATTTGTTTCTTATAGAAAAAAGTTTTTTTAATTATCTGAAATCCTTGGTTACTCGTAGTCAGCGAAAATATCTAAACTTTTCTGTTGTCTGCTGCAAATTACACGACGACTTCTTTCTTTAGCGGAAATGCCTGTGTCATTGGCGAACAAAGATTTGTGGCAACCCTGAGGCAAATCAGGGAGGACCAAAGTGAAAATGTTATACAATATAGGCCATAGAATGCTACCCAGAGGAACTCCTGCTCTAACAGATAGTCGTTCAGATTTCAAATTTTGATTATTTACCTGCTGAGTTCTATCAGTTAAATAATGCTGACCTAATTTCATAATGTAGAGTGGAAAATTAAGCTTCTTTAATTAAGCAATCAAACCCTCATGCGAAACACTGTCAAATGCTTTTTCTATGTCTAGAATTAGCAAATCCAGTTGAGCAACCTTCAGATATATTTGAATGAATTGAATTGGTAACTCTTAAGAGTTGATGAATGGTTGAATGCCCATGGCAAAATCCAAACTGCTTATCTGCAAAAATCGATTTTGTATTGATATGAACCATCATTCTATTCAAAATTATATTTTTTTTTTAATTTTACTCATTAAAGAAAGCAAAATTATTGGACTGAAATCTGGCTTGAAAACTGGAACAACTTTTGCATTTTTCCATTTATTATGAAGGTATTTTAAAATGGAAACATCTGTTAAATAATTTTACCAAGAAGGACAAGGTACTCTCTGTGAGTTTTTGATGAGGACATTAAACAAATCAGTCCCTCAGGAATCATCAAAAATATTTTCCCACGAAAAAATATTCAAATGTTCCCGAGCAACCTGATTATCAATAGGACTCGTAAGACCAAAAATAAAATTATGGGAACTCTAGCATTGCCTAGCAAGTTTCTGGGCTTTTTCCGAATTAATGATCAAAATGTCACTACCTTTTCTAAGCGCTGGAATAGGCTTTTGAGGTTTTTTTTTTAATTTTTTTTGTGAGTTTCCAAAAGTGTTTGGAACTCTGGTCTAGTTTATACACATTTCTTTCAAAAGTTTTGATCCTCAGCACAGAGAATCGCTTTTTAATTTGTTTTTGCAAATCCCGCCAGATCACTTTCATGGCAGGATCGCGTGTTCTTTGATATTGTCTCCTACGGACATTTTTAAGACGGATCAAGAGCTGAAAATCGTCGTCTATTATAATTGAATCGAATTTAACCTCGCATTTTGGTACTGAGGCAGCTCTTGCTTCAACTTTAGAAGTAGTCAAATATTCAAGAGCATAATTAAAAATTTAAAATTTGTTCCAGAAGAAAAATTAATAGCTGGTCGGGAACGTGGAGCGTTTCCCATCGGTCACTTAGAACGAGATTGAAGGATCGCTTTGAGGGTCTTACATTCCCAAAAATTCGTTTTGTGGTTTTCACGAAAATTTGAACAGTTCAATTGCATAGGATCTTCCTTCATAGGATAGTCGTTCATTGCCTGAGAGGAATCACCATAATTCATGCATTTAGCTGGCATACGTAGCAATTGGTTTCCCTGGCACTTTCGGCACTGGGTGCGGTTTTGGGAAATCTCCTTCAGTCTTCCTGAAGTATTCCTTCTTCACTCGGACATGGAGCATAAGGCTTGGTTGTTTAGTTCACTTTAATTGAAGCGAACTAAATAAAATCATTAGAAATCCCGTTGCGTGAATCGCCAGGACGGGATTGCATTTTGGCTTCTTGGGCTGGAATAATTCCAGGTAATTTTTCAGTTCATCGTGGATCTGATCCAGGGATTCACCACTGGGCAGTCCTTTCATGACTTCCTTGAACAGACGTTCAGTGTTGGTGTCGTTAGTAAAAAATGTGTGCTGCTTCTCAGTAAGATCTTGAGAAGACATTTAAATCCGTCCAAGGTTTCAGCCAATACACGGCATTCACCCCGACGTCCAATTTGTAGTGAAAACTTAACTTTCACGAAATTCAAAAGTTCCATGCGAAGAGCATGGAAATCGGAAGTGGTTATCACAATAGGGGGAATCTTTTCCTTCTTGGCAATTGGATGGGAAAGTTTATTGGAATGTTGCCTGGATGGTGGATCATTCTCATCATCCGTGAGCATATCAAATTGTTTGCTCAAATAAATTTCATCAGAAGGGGGATCAAGAGATTGCCCATTTATTTTGCGCTAAGGCGCCTGCGACTTCCAAGCAGATTACAGATCGAAGAGAAATTTTCTCAGTTGATGGGCAAGCGGGATTACCTCGGATAGGGTTCAAACAAGGATCGCAGAGTCGAACAAGTTAGAAAATTTACAGGTAATTTTGAGTACTGAAAAGTGCTGTGCTGTCCAATTTGTTGTAGGCTTTAGGTAGCACTTAATCTTCTTTCAGTAAAAAGCAAACAGATCCGCACGGTAAGTACGATGTGGACTGATAACTTACTATAGTGAATCACTATAATTGCTCCATTTTTTTTCACAAAAGTTGCCCACTGGGATTAGAATAAGGGTTCTACTACTACTTTTGTTTCAAAATTTGGCCAACCCAGTTATGAAAAATAGATAATGATTCTTCAGAGTAAGTTTTGAAATTTTTTGTAACTTTAGGTGTATACAAATATTGAAAAAAATTATGTTGACCCATTTACCTACAAAGAAAGTTTTATTCATTACCTTTCAAATGACATAAAGAGAACGTCAATAGGACGTAAACTGATCGAGACATGAACATAACACATTTGCTTGTTTTTTTAGGGTGACCCCAAGCTTATGATCAGGAGTGTATCCTATCGAAAGACAGCTGCTATATATGAAATTAAAGTTACCAGCGATACATTTATGTTGCATTAATCACGTAGCAGCTAAATAACAAATTATTCAAAAACGCTTAGTCGTAATTTTCTCCAAACGTTTTTTTTTTCTAAATGGAACAGATATACGAGTACCGGCACTATATGTATTAGAGCGGTTCAAAATATCGATTTTGCTCTACCAAACTCAATCGATTTTAAATCAGGTCCTGGTAGTTCTTCCAAAATTTGAGCTCATTTGGATGAGAACTCATACTGCACTACTCACCCTTTGAAGTTTGAAGTGATCTACGGGAAAGTTTGCTATTTGTACTAATGTGAAATTTTTTCAACTTTGCTGAAGAGCGAATTTGAATTGAGGATCATAAGTTATTGACTAATTGACTTATTAGAAAAATGAGATTATTCTGACATGCTCCATAAACTGCTCAGCAGGCAACATTGGTGTGGTTGGAGCGCAGAATAGGGCAAAACATCTAAGCTACTATGTCATAAGTGCAAGATGCAGTGTTGCCATGAATGTAGTCGCTTAATGTTTAATCAAAAAGTGGTCTTGGTTGTAGCTGATTGCACACTTTTCCGTAGATCATTATGGCGAAGTGGTAGGACGTTGAAAACGAAAAGTTCACATTTCCCATATAAACTTCAAAGGGCCAGTGTAGTTCGCATCCAAATGAGCTCAAATTTCGGGAGAATGATTTAAAATCGAATGAGAATGATATTTTTAACCATATACCTGTATGTGTCATATACCTACCTCGGAAGCATCCGGTTAAGCAGTTGTTCAGTCTTTTTGCGTTCCATATCGAGCTGATCGGTTCGTTCCCGGATAAGCTCCTCCAGGTTGTTTGAATATTTCTCCAACATTTGAAACATGGTATCCACAAAGTTAACCTTTCGGCCATGGTTCAGTTGCTTGAAACGTTCGCAGATCCTGGTTGAACAATGAGAGAAGAAAATACATGAATGAACAATCACAATCAAACACGCCAAACTAAAGGTAATTCGAAACACTCCAGTGCATTATTCCTACATTACGAAATCGGGTCTCATCTCGGGGTTCTCAGCCCAGCACTGTCGCATGATGTTGATGGCTTCCGGTGGGGCGGCCCCTTTTGACACGGACGGGCGTATGAGTGGGGGTGGTTTTTTGATTTTCACTATAATTTCCTCGGGTGAAAGCGACAGCATGCAGTACGGTTCCCCTCGGACAACCACCTCCTGCATGATGATTCCGAACGCGTACACGTCGGCAGCCTGCGTTCCTCCCTTGGGGTAGCCCTTGGTGGCTCGCAGTGCCTCTGGTGCGGTCCAGAGGAGATCTTTGGCACTTTTCGGCGGAGGCGTAATGCCTTGCGTGTCGTAGAAGCTCAATATAGCATAGTCGGTGATTTTCAACACCCAGCGTGCGTCCACGATACAGTTTCGGGAAGAGAGCGACCCATGGATCCGGATCGGTGAGCCGTGAAGGTAACGCATCCCACGCACCAGATCAGTCAGCAGGCTCAGTCGAAAGGACCAATCGAGCTTAATTTCGTCCATGACGAGCACGTCCTGCAACGAACCACGGGAGCAATGTTCGAACACCAGGGCCGTCCGGGTGGGCTCATTCAGCCAACCTGAAAATGGGAAATAATATCCAAAGAATAGGAATGAATTTTTAACGAACGAACAATGAACGACAACGGCTGGTAGTGGTGATCAATTTTCTAATGTCGATTGTTATGAATTTGCTGGTGGTGCACATCCCTGCTGTGCACGAATTTCCAATATCCTAGCAAAGCCTCCGTGAGAAAAAAAAAACAGTTGCTGCATGAGCACATTGTACAATAATGCCTGTTGAAAGCTTTCACCGAATGCAGTGGGTCCTGGATACGGTTCACCAGGTCCCATAAACATGCAAGTTCTGTGAGTGGTGAGCATATTGAATTTAATAATCATAGTGTACACACTGGGGAAATTGCATTTGCTTTGGCTTGTGGCCTATTTTTCGTTTTGTGGTAACACATGTGTGATTGTGGTGACCCGCATCGTGATGATACGAGACGTGCTGGAGGATTTCGGGAAAAATTCATGGAACCCGATCGGAAAGCCGAGTTCGTCTTTGCTTGTGGGATTTGTGAAACAGAGATTTTCGGTTTTGTGATGGATACTCGGAATTGTGTTATTCTGGGTTGTTTTGATTTAATGCGTGGCTACAATACGATGTTTCTTCTTTCGTTTTAGTTTATGTGGGTAGACTCACTAGGCTAGGTGAACAAGTAACGAGTTAAGAGATGTTATTTTTCGATCCATTCTCTTTAGAGCAAATATAATGTGATTCAACACTTACAACTTTGCCGGATTCACTCTCCAAGTCATCCACAGATAGAATCGTAAATTACTATATCATGCGTAAATTACTATATCAATACATAAATCATATTTGTATCTTACTGCTAATTTGATAGCCTATAATCTTTTTACTAGGGACTGTATCGAAAATAAGTTAAAAAAAGTTTTTTTTTATAATCACATTATTTTTCGATTATGTGTGTGATGTTATTCTCTAAAACTTGGCAAAGAAAAACAAACCTTAAAATATTCTTTAAGAGACTGGTGTCATGTTAGATCCTCTTATAAGGATTCGTACAGTGCATTTTCGTTTTTTTAACGCGTCGTTACAGTATATTTTTGATGCTTTGAATGTTTTAGCAATCTTAATATCCTTCCAAATATGCTCTTTTTAATTGCCATTCAAAATTGTATCTATAATTAATTTAAATACTCCGAGGTGAACCAGCCATTAGGCTGAAAACCTCTTAAATAAAGAAAAAAAAAATAATTTAAATTTGTTGGTAAACGGTCTCCACATTTTTCATGTATGCAATTTTTTGTTGCTATTTTAATCGATTTATTTGGTGGAATATTAAATATGTTCATATATTGTAAGTTTCAGTGGACAAAATAACACGGTGCGTTGTTTAACTAGAATAAAGGCGCGTTAAACTTTGTGAAAATACACCAAAATCGCTGAACGATCTTGATACATGGAAAGTACATCAGTTATAGCACTAGTGGTCCGTATGGGGTGCAGTATTTAAAACCATAACTTTCCCTACATGAATTCGGTTGCCGTGATGGTTTTCAAGACGTCTCATGAAATACTCTATATAGCAGACCAGTTTGCTGTACATAAGTATCGTTTCCTAATACTGTGGTAAAATAGATAACATCGTAAGGTTAAGTAAAGTTTCTAACTGAAATAACTGCGGAATTTCTTATTCTATCGATTTGGTAGGTTCAAAAACAATTTTTCAATCTCATAGGCATATTAAGAGATGGGAGACGGCTAACTATACCCCCGCCCCCATCACTCATATAAATGGAAGCAAAGCTTCAAACTGCAATAGCTTCGGTGATTCTGATCTTATCATGTTGGAATGTTCAGATGTATTCAAAAACATGTGCTCCATTTAATAGGCGTAGTTAGATATAGGGGGGGGGGGGGGTTACTGTATGCCTTCCGGCCCTCACTTATATCAATGAAAGTATAGATAAAGACTAAAATAACTTCAGAGTTTCCCATTGCTCGAGTTGTTCGGATGGGTTATTTAAAAACATTTGCTCAATCTCATAAGAGCAGTTGTAAAGCGAGTACTCCCATTCTATTCCCTACTCTTTTGGTGCAATATACAAAGTCAGATATATTCACACAAATGTCATTGGATTGTAATGACTATATTTCATTTTAATATATTCTACGATTTCTCAGGGTACTCTTTTCGATGCTGTTCTATCCTTTGAAGCAAATATTGCTGTTGAACTAGGTCTCGGGTGGATTTCTAGATAAGTCAGAAATTAGCTTCACCATATCGTTGACAACCATCAAGAAAGCAACTCGTTGTATCGCATTGAAATAATCTGTATCATTACTCCACTCGTCTACCGGTTTTTGCATGAAACCAGTTAAAATTTCGAAAAGGAATCAGCACTGTTAGAAGTGACGCTTGGCTTGGGAGCCCAACTGAAACTTAGCCCCCTTGAAGTTAGCCCAACAAGCAAAATCCGACTGTACCTGTGTCTGAGACGAAACTGGTGAATACATATATGATTTTCACTTTTTTGGGTTGGATAATCAAGCACTGGAGAATATCAACAAACGCGTATTCGTTGTTGCATAATGTACTTATTTGTTCATTTCACTCGTACGTAACAGCGAAAACAAACCCAATTCATCTACACTGAACAAACTCAATTCAAAGCAAACGCAATTCATCTACACTGGGTTGAAGCGCTACTCCTTGCGTGTGATGGTAAATGATAAAAACAGACACGGCCAGAAATAAAAGCAATTCATATACATATGAGAAAATCATTGCAAGTTAGGAACAATTTCGGCAAACTGTAGTAGCGGCATTGAGTGTGGAACCAAGAAAAGCATTGCAAACACATTTCCCATCCCGTTCTTGCATTCTAATCCGAAAATTGGCAACCACATACAGTGTATCTCAAAATTGAGCGTACATCTGAATGGGCAATTTTTTGAAAGACTTGGCTAGTGGTTGAACAGCTATTTATTTATTTATCAGTAAAGCTTTGGACTTTATTGGCACAGTATGTATGAAGTTTGAATAATTTCAGTAAAACGGTCGATTTTCAACCTTTTTTTTTATATAGTAGGCGGATTTTAGTAAAATTAGCGGCATTTTAAAGATCTACCCGGTTCGGTAATTTTTACTGAAATCTGAACAGCTGAACTGTTCGATAAAATGTATGCAATTTAATTCAATTGATTTTCAGTTACTTTGAAACTAAATCTACTCTAAAATTACAAGATTTGATCGTTTTTTTTTAATTCAATGGACTTTAAAATGAAGGTTGAAGTTTTACCGAACGTTTAGCTGGTAAAATTTACACGAAAACAAAATCTTAGTGTGACAACAGATTAGCAAAGTTTCAATATGTGTGGCTCATTGTATTTCAGGAAAATGAGTTTTTTGTTTAGGAAATCTCAAGGGGTAGGTCACTCCGCACACCAATCTTGGGTCATCTTTTTTGTCAGTGGGCCGCAAGTGTGCCGATTGTTTGTAAAATATCCATCCCAGCAACCCGGAATTTCTGAACTTTGAATGTTTTGGTTTGAAATCGCAAGGATAAATCGGATTGAGGATGACGCGGGAAGTGGCGGGTGTTCGAAATTTTGGTGTTTTGTGCATAGGATAATAAAAGTCCTGTGTTTTAGGGTTTTATTATGCCTTCAAATGCAGACCAGAGACCTAGGTCTTTCGTGATATGAAAGCAACGGTCTATCAGTGGCCGGAAAGAGTTGGAACCGGTGGGGAACATTGTTGGAAACCGACTATAGAGGATGATGAATAGACTTCTGTAGTTTGTTTTGTGTGAGTTGCTGCGTTATTTGAATAAAAGATACTAATGGGTCTGATTAACTGCCACTTTCTCTTGAGCCCACTCTAGAACCTACATTTCGTATTTAGATCTATAAGTGAACACCTGGTATGAGTTAATCTGGTATATTCAATTAGAAGATGCTCCTGAATATAAAAACAGCACGTAATGCTGTGAACAACTTCAATGACAGTTGCCCAGCAATGCTCCCATTTTATTTACAACAATCCAATGCCTACGAGATTGTGCCGAAGGTGTGCCGATGGATGTGCCTGAACTGTGCCGAATTTAATTTTGGCACAATGTGCTGAGTGACTTACCCCTTGGGAAATCTAGTTTTTCTAAAATAACTCTAACTTCTTACACACTCATCCAAATAAGCCCAATACTATACCGATAACCACTTAATAGTTGATGAGCCAGCAGCCAAAATCTTAGAAATCTATCTTTTTAAGTTTTGCTCGAACAACTGTTTTTATGAAATGTACGGACAGCTGAACGCTAAATTTTGAGATACACTGGATGTCACACAGGCTATCAAATAAAGTGTCGGTCTTGCATTACTTTTGGTTGGATTTCGACGATCGCTTTCGCTCCTTTTTAATGGATTGGATGTCTTTGGAAGCATTTGCATTTCTCAAAGTAACGGCATATTGATCAGATTTGCTGGTTTCTCTGTTTGCCGTTTTCATTTGCTGACCCTCGGGGTTGCAATTTTAGGCAACGGCAGTATCTCTACTGGTGATACTTTGAACGTCGGTTTAGCTGTTGAATCATTACCTCTGGATCCTTACGAGGTAGTGCTTCTACGTGCAGGTTGATCGGTTACCTCAGATGGACTTTCACTTAACTTTACCTTAACTTTAGCTTAACTTTAACTTACCTTTAACTTTAACATAACTTCAACATAACTTTAATATCGCTTTAACTTAATTTTTACTTATTTTTAACATACATTTAACATTCCTTTAACTAAACTTTAACTTTAACATAACTTTGACTTACCTTTAATTTAACTTTTTTTCCATGATTTGTTTTCCGTCGATCTTGTTTTGAGCACCAATGCTACCGACGCCAGGGAGGCAGCTCCCACACCTGGACCCTACCTATCGACCCATCAATTCATGAACCGGGCACCAACGGCTTTACTTCCCTGATCAGAGATTTTATGCCTCACTGCATAGCTATTTTTTAAACATTCATAATTATTGAGAATTAATTAAAATAATTA